ACATGAAAATCTGTGCTCTCTTTTATACTCTGGAGTAGCTGGTAAGAGTGGAGTTAATATGTACTTCTTGAATATTTTATATTCAACTTCTGATTTGCTTCTTTTATATTTATGGAAATATTTAGGTTTTCTATTTCTTCTTGAGTTATTTTTGGTATATGCTCTCATTCTCTCTTTCTCCCTCTTTCTTCAGATACACACACACACACACACACACAGACACACACACACACACCACCAATTTAGTCTAAATTTTCTAATTTGTTGATTTAAAGTTGCTCATAATTTTAATGTCTGTGGAATTCATAAGTAATATCTAATATTTATTCTGATATCATTTGTGCCATTTCTTTCATCTTCTCTTTTTAAAACCGTCTTGCTCATAGTTTAATTGGATATATTTTCAAGGAATTCATTTTTGGCTTTTTTATCTTTTCTGTGTTATTAATGTCTGTACTTTATTTTATTCCTCATATTTTTTTTTTATTTAAATCTTAAAATGGATGTTTAGGCATTAATTTTTAGTCTTTTCTAAATTTCTTCATAAGCATTGATTTAAGTGCATCCTATAACTTATCTTATGTAGTATTTTTGTTATTTGTTTCTGAATAATATTATGTAAATATCAGTTCTTCTCTATTAAAAAATAGTGCTGCAGTGAACATCACTGTACGTAAATTTTTTTTTTTTTTTTGAGTTGGAGTATTACTTCATCACCCAAGCTGGAGTGCAGTGGCATGTGCACAGCCACCCCAGCATTGACCTGATGGGCTCCGGCAATCTTTCTGCCTCAGCCTTCCAGGTAGCTGGAACTGCAGGCATGCACTACCATGCCTGTCTAATTTTTTATTTTAATGTAGAGACAAGGTCTCGCCAAGTTCTCCGGGCTGATCTCAAAGCCGTGGGCTCAGGCAGTCTACTCATCTTGGCCTCCCAAAGTGCTGGATTACAGGCTGAGCCACCTAGCCTGGCCCATACATAAATCTCTGGCACTCCTACAAGTATTTTTGTAGGATAGATTTTTTTTTTTTTTTTGAGTCGGAGTCTCACTCTGTTGCCCAGGCTGGAGTGCAGTGACATGCTCATGGCCACTGCAGCCTCAAACTGCTGGGTTCAGTTGATTCTTCCTCAACCTTCCAAGCAACTGGAACCATGCCTGGCTAATTTTTTTTTTAATTGTAGAGATGTAGTCTCAAGTTGTCCAGGCCGATCTTGAACCCTTGGGCTCAGACAATACCCTCACCTCCACCTCCCAAGGTGCTAGGATTATACGCATGAGCCACTGTACCCAGCTTTTGTAAGATAGGGTTTTTTTTAAGGATAGATTCCTTTTTTTGTTTGTTTGGTTGGGTTTTTTTTGAGTTGGAGTCTCACTCTGTCACCCAGACTGGAGTGCGGTGGCCGCTCCCAGCCACTGCAGCCTCGACCTGCTGGGCTCTGGCGATCCTTCTGCCTCAGCCTTCCAAATTGCTGGAACTACAGGCCTGCACTACCATGCCCGGCTAATTTTTGCTTTGTTGTAGAGATGAGGTCTCGCCAAGTTGCCCAGGCAGGTCTCGAACCTGCGGGCTCAGGCAATCCACTCACCTCAGCTTCCCAAAGTGCTGGAATTACAGGCTGAGCCACTGAGCTCGGCTCCTTTTTTTTTTTTTTTTTTTTGAGTTGAAGTCTCACTCCATTACCCAGACTGGAGTGCAGTGGCTGCTCCCGGCCACAGCAGCCTCGACCTGCTAGGCTCCGGCGATCCTTTCACCTCAACCTTCCAAGTAGCTGGAACTACAGGCGTGCCATACCATGCCTGGCTAATTTTTGGTTTTTATTGTAGAGATGAGGTCTCGCCAAGTTGCCCAGGCAGGTCTCGAACTCACGGGCTCAGGCAGTCCACTCACCTCGGCCTCCCAAAGCACTAGGATTACAGGCTGAGCCACCAAGCCCAGCCAAGGATAGATTCTTAAAAGTGGAATTGCTGGCTCCAAGGTAGTATATGTTAAATTTTTTTTTGTTAAAAGAATTTGGGGGCTGGGCACTGTAATCTCAGCACTTTGGGAGCACGAGACAGGAGGATCACTTGAGCCCAGAAGTTCAAGGCCAGCCTTGGCAACATAGCAAGACTTCATCTCTACAAAAAAGTATATATATAAAAAAAAAAATTAGCTGCGCAGGTGGTGCACACCTGTGGCCCCAACTTCTCAGGAGGCTGAGGTGGGAGGATTGCTTGAATCCAGGAGTTTAAGACTGCAGTAAGGGGCTTCTGCACTAGACTGGAGTCCAGTCTCTTTCTTTCTCTCTCTTTCTCCTCTTTCTTCTTCCCCCCAATCGCCGACGCCGTCTCCACCTTTGGGGTACCCTGAACCTGGCTGGAGTTGGTCTCCGGCACATCATTACAGGTGAGACAACTGAGGCTCCAAGCGATCAAGATCCCGCTGAGGCTAGTGATATAGCAGTTCTGATCTCAAATCCAGCTGGAGTCCACAGCCTGAGCATCTTGCTACACCCAGGAAGAGTGGAGATTGGCAGTAAATCTCAGAGCAATTTCTTTTCATTCTTTGTAGCTTACGTTGTGATTACTGTGTAAAGTGTGTGCAACATGAAAAAAAAAAAAGACTGTAGTAAGCTGTGATCACCCCACTGCATTCCTGCCTAGGCAACAGAGCAAGACCCTGTTTCTTCTTCTTTTTTAAAAAAATTATTATGATTAATTTTATAAAAATTTAAAAATTAAAAAAAAAATTCAAGTAACTGCAGATTTAGTATGATTGGAGTCTATCTTGGGAGAGATGAGGTAGATGGGTGGTGAGAGATTATGAAGGGTCTTATAAACTATCTTAAGTAGCCAGAAATTTATTCTTTAGAAAATGGTGACTGGGTTCGGTGGCTCAGCTTGTAATCCCAGCACTTTGGGAGGCCGAGGTGAGTGGACTGCCTGAGCTCGTGGGTTTGAGACCTGCCTGGGCAACTTGGCGAGACCTCATCTCTACAATAAATCAAAAATTATCTGGGCATGGTAGCACGCGCCTGTAGTTCCAGCTACTTGGAAGGCTGAGGCGGAAGGATCGCCGGAGCCCAGCAGGTTGAGGCTGTGGTGGCTGGGAGCAGCCACTGCACTCCAGTCTGGGCAACAGTGTGAGAATCCAATTCAAAAAAAAGAAAAGAAGATGGCAGCATTTGAAGGGTTTCAATCAGGGAATAAACTGAGTGTATTTGTATTTTAGAATGTTCACTCAGGCACAATGTGGAGGATCTACTTGGACAAAAGTGAGAGAGGGTGGAGGGTAGAATAGAGTCAGAGGTCACTTAGATTTGAAATGATATTGAATTAATATCAGTCGTGAATGGAGGGAAAATTAGACAGATACTAAGTTAGTAGAATTGAATGGCCAGTTGGAAAAGGGTAAAGAAGTAGGAATGAAGGATGACTTCAAGTTTAAAATAGCTTAGGTATTTCAGTGGGGAGCAATGCCATTAACTAAGGAAGAAATTATGAAGGAAGAAAAGATTTGAGAATAGAAAACCAAATGAGCAGAATTTGGATGTATTTTATTTGAGGTGTATCCAAATAGAGCTATTCATTAGGTTACTGGGTGTATGGACTTCAAACTTGGAGAAAAGGTCTATGCCAAAGGGAGGAAGTATTAAGATATAAATGGTGGCTCAGTGCCTGTAATCCCAGCACTTTGGGAGGCCAAGGCAAGAGGATTGCCTGAGCTCAGGGTTGGAGACCAGCCTCGAGAACTTGGTGAGACCTTGTCTCTACAATATATCAAAAAATTAGCGTGCCTCTGTAGTTCTGGCCTACTTGGAAGGCTGAGGTGGAAAGATTGCCGGAGCCCAGCAGGTTGATGCTGGGGTGGCTGTGAGCATGCCACTGCACTCCAGCCTGGGTGACAGAGTGAGACTCAGACTCAAAGAAAAAAAAAAAAAGAAATGGTAGCAAAAAACTTGACCTAAATGCCAAAAGTTTATTACACATGTAAAATCATTGGTGATCTGCAGTGTTAACATACAGAGAAAATAGGACTAAGGGCAGAACTCAAGCAGTCAATCTTTATGGGTAGTTGGAGGAAAAGTAGTTAGTTGAGACTGACTAAATAGGAATGAGAATGAGCAGACAGTAATATTTTGGTGCTAGAGGAAATATGTTTTTAGAAGGAAGGAATAACCTAGGGTTTCAGGTATTGCAGTGAGATCACATATGATAAAGACTGAGAAATAACCACTATTGGATTTAGAAATTAAGTTATTTGTAGTGAAGTGCTATACATAGAAACCAGGTTTTAGTGAGTTGAAGAAGGAATGTGAGATGAGAAAACAGAGATAATGATTGTAGATTGACCACTTGAGGAAAGGACATTGACATTTATTAATTGCCTACTGGGTTTTATGTACTATACTCGGCTACTACATAGGTTATCTCAGACACATGTAACAGAATTTATTCCTCTAATGAACATTTCTTTTGGTTAAAAATAGTGGTTTTTTTTTTTGCCCAAAGTCATTTTCTCTGTTGTATACATATAAGGCATGAGTACCACATGGTTTAATAAAGAAAGGGAACCAGCCAGGCTCACTGGCTCAATCCTGTAATCTCAGCACTTTGGGAGGCCAAGGTGAGAAGATTGCCTGAACCCACGGGTTCGAGACCAGCCTGGGCAACTTGATGAGACCTCATCTCTGTAATAAATAAAAAAAAAATTAACCAGGCATAATAGTGCACACCTGTAGTTTCGGCTACTTGGAAGGCTGAGGAGGAAGAATCACCTGAGCCCAGCAGGTCGCCGTGAGCGTGCCACTACACTCCAGCCTGGGCAATGGAGTAAGACTCCAACTCAAAAAAAAAAAAAAGAAAGGGAACCTCTTTCACGTCTTGTGGCAAAATTCTTGTTTTTCATCCAATATGAAGGGGAAAGTTGGTACTGGATTTTGTCTACATCATACCTTCCATGCTACCTAAGCCTAAACAGAATTGAACTGATTTTTATCACACCTTCTTTCACTCCCAGGCCCGATATGAAAGCCAGCGGATCCAGATAGAGTCAGAGCTAGCTGTTCAGCTGGAGCAGCAGGTGACAGAGCGACTGGCACAGGCTCAAGAGAGCAGCCTACGGCAAGCAGCCTCCCTGAGGGAGCATCACAGGTACTTGGGACTCACTGGATGCCACTTCTCCCCAGCCACAGCAAGTATTGTTAGTGCCTTGCCCATGTCTTCTTAGATCCCTTTACCATTTTCCCATGATGGCTCCCAGTGTACTTTCACTCCAGTCAGCTAGGACCTAAGTCTCTCCTGGGAGAACTGCCTTCAGTTGCTCAACGAGAGCCAGAAGTTCTGGGAATTTTCATCCCATAGGAAGTACCCTTAACCAAGAACTGATGGGTGCAGCTCCCTTGCTGAGACAGTGTTGAGGTGTTACCTGTGTTGTCTACAGAGTTGTGCTATGGTATTGAGCCTCCCTCCCATCCCAGTCTCACTTCTCCTCACCCCTGCTCCCCTACCAATATTTTCTGGAAGCATCTCTTAAATAAATCACTCCCCATAAATCCTTATCTTTATCTCTGCTTCTGGGGAACCCTTTCTAAAACTCCAGCTCTGTCCTTGCTTCTTTTCTGTGTCATGGCCAAGCTGGCTAATTGTAATTGTCTGGTTTACCCTCAAATGCATACATTATATCTTTTCATTTGGTTACTACTTCTGTCTCCAGTCTCAGGCCTCTTTTTTCACCTGTGTCCTTCTAGGAAGCAGCTGCAGGACCTAAATGGACAGCACCAGCAGGAATTGGCCAGTCAGTTGGCACAGTTCAAGGTGGAGATGGCAGAACAAGAGGAACGGCAGCAGCAGGTGTCTCAGGACTATGAGCTCAGGTACTGGTCCCTGGAGTATCCCTTTTAGGCTTCAGCCCCATTCCTATGGGTAGAGCCCAAACTGGGAATAGTATAGCTACTGCTCCCTCAGTAGATCTGTCCTCTTCTAAGTTGGCCCCAGCTCCTTTCAGAATTTCAGATGACATTCCATTCTGGCTCTTCTTAGCCTCCAAGTCTCTGCTTCTTTCATGCCCCCTTAGTCACCTCTTTCCTCTTTTTTTCAGACTGGCTCGGGAGCAAGCACGAGTACGGGAACTACAGATTGGAAACCAGCAGCTGGAGGAACAGCGGGTAGAGCTGGTAGAACGACTCCATGCCATGCTGCAGACCCACTGGGATGAGACAAACCAATTGCTTAGCACCGCTCTTCCACCTCCTAACCCTCCGGTAGGCATCGCTTGAGCTAAACTTCTCAAAGTTGTTGTGCTTTAGAGTCTTTCTTTGGATATCTAGCTCTCTCCCAAGGGAAGTCCTAAGTTTAGTTCCTAGGGCCTATATCAAGGGAAAAAAAATTGGTGGACTTTTCCCGAAGAATAACTGTCTTACCAAAACAAATATTTTTTCCTCTCTTCTCCCAGTCCCAAGAGGTGATGAATAATATGTATTACTAGCTCTGTAGAATGACAACTGAATTATTTCTGAGGGAAAAGGCCAAATATTGTTGCTAAGTCCTACCCTAAAGTCGAGTAGGGAGTCTCACCCATAGCCCTTCTTGTGTTGGCATCTCCTACCTCTTTTTTTTCAGTTGTGAAATTTTAGCTGGATCTGGTGGCACACACCTATAATCCCAACTACTTGGGAGGCTGAGGTGGGAGGATTGCTTGATGCCATGAATTCAAGAGCAGCCCGGGCAACATATTGAGACCTCCTATCTTAAAAAAAAAAAAAAAAAAAAAAAAAATAAAATTTTTATTATTAGCTAAAATATTTTTAATAGATAATAATACGCACATGGAAAAAAAACCCAAACTGTTCAAAAAGTTATGTCATAAAAAGTAATCTCCACTCTATCCCTGTATCTTAGTCTTCCAGTTTCTCTCCCCTAAAACAACCATTATACTACTGTCTTGAGTGTCTTCCTTCCTACCCCTCCACTGCTCCCCCACCCTTCCCACCCCATATGTCAAATGGTCACCTTCTATATACTACTATACAAGAGGGAACTTCCAAAAAACAGGAATTATTTTTGGAGGGCGAACCCTTTGTAGTATGGGCTTCCCTCAATGGGTTTCTAAGAACCCATTGGCATCAGTGTACCAGCTAGCACTGTTTTGAGAGGCTGCGTTTGGCTTCAGTGAATTTTTTGGAGATTCTTTTAGTGGGTCTGCCCATTTCATGATGGGCACCTTCCCACACCACACTGAGTGTTCAGCAGTTTTTGACTAAAACCAGCATGATTCCCATGCCCCACCCTCCCTATTCGTCTGATCTCACCCTGAACGACTTCTTTTTTGTTTCTCTGGATGAAAAGTCCTCAAAAGGCAATGTTTTGCCAATGTGGAAAAGGTGAAACAAAAAACAGCATAAGCACTAAAAGGCATAAAAATTGATGAACTCAAAAACTGTTTTGAGCAGTGGAAAAAGTGTCTCGATAGGTATATTGCATCAAACGGGGAGTACTTTGTAGGTGACTGAAGTTTAAACTTGTAAGAATGAATACACAATTTTTAATAACTACATTATGTTTTTCGGGAGGGTCTCCCTCGTATACTTTTTATTCAACCAAATGCTTGTTGATGGATATGATAGTTTCTTATATTTCACGTATTATAATTATTGCATATATTTTTTATATTTTGCATCTAGAAACATGACTGCAATAAATATTATCAATATATGTCTTTGTGTAATTGTATCTATAACGTTTCTAGAAATAGAATGTAAGATAAAAAGTAAGCAGTTTAAAATTTGCTATAAATTTCGTAGATGTCACCACATCTCCTTTTAAAGAAGTTCTACAGCCTTCCAAGTAGCCAGAACTACAGACAAAAAAAAAAAAAAAAAAAGAAGTTCTAGTAATTTGTAATCTTACCATGTTTATACCATGTCTTGTGTCTTTAAACCCAATGGGTTTTGGTCATTTTTTCAGCTTCCTCCTGCTGACTCTTCTATCCCTGGGTCTCAGGAGCCAGAGAAGGGGGACAGGACTGTCTGGCCTATGCCTCCTGTGGCTGTAGCCCTGAAGCCTGTAGTGCAGCAGAGCCGGGAAGCAAGGGATGAGCTACCTGCAGTGCCCCCTGTTCTCTGCAACTCCTCCCCAGATCTTAGCCTCCTGCTCGGTCCCCCTTTCCAGAGCCAGCATTCCTTCCAGCCCCTGGAGTCTAAACCAGATCTCACTCCATCCACAGGTAACTAGGAACAGAAGTCACTTACATATGTGAATTGGCTCCCTCTTATCTACCTTCCTTTCTGTCTGGAACTTAAGCATTTAGTTTCCCAGACATCCTAGTGATCATAGTTGCAAGGAGCAGAAATCCACATTGACTCAAATAAAGACAGTAAGATCTCTTGGAAATGTGGTGTTGCTGGACTTAAGAGAACTGGTGTTGGGAATGGGTGCAATCCAGAACTGTGGCAGCTATCCCTTCTCCGGGGCCTGTAGAGCATCTTGGCTCTCCTTCTGCACATCTGCTCCTTTCTTATTTAAGGTTCTTGCTCCTCATAATTTCAGCTTGCATGTGGATTTAACCAGCCATGACACTGACTCTAGTCATTTATAGAGATATTGGTGTCTTAGTTTTTTAGGTCCAGTTTAAAGGGGCTCTCTGATGGATTGGTAAACCATCCATTGGATTGACTGACCTTGGGTGTGGTTTCCACTCCTGGTTTAATGTCAGTTGTGACTTGGGTGGATGGGGGTGTTCTATGTGGTACAAACATAACAATGTAGGTCAAATTAAGAAGGAGGAATGAATTGTATCACAATTTAAAATTTTTAAATTATGTAATAACAATAAAAGAATGGAGCCATGTTCTGGTGAAGAGACCAGAATGTGTCTGTTAATCATTTCTGTTCTTTAAGGAGTTTATGGTGGTATTTATTTGTTTAGAGTTTGAGTACCACAGCTTTCTTCTTGTGTCTGCATATCTGTCTTAGAGTTCAGCTGTGCCATCTCCCAATCACCTCCAACCCCTCCATCTCCAGCTCTTTTAAACTTCCAGTCTTCTCCTAGCTGCAGTGTTCTTCTTACATTTAATAGGCTCCTTTCTTCTGGGTATTAGGTGAGTTGATTTGGGGAGGAACCCCTTCCCCCTACAACACATGTGCACCCATGCACACCAATTTTACTTCATAGCTGGGACCTTCTCTGCACTTGGGGCCTTCTATCCCGGTCACAGGGCAGAACGGCCTTTCCCCGAGGAAGATCCTGGATCTGATGGGGAGGGCTTCCTAAAGCAAGGGCTGCCACCTGCTCAGCTGGAGGGCCTCAAGCATTTTTTGCACCAGGTAAGAGAGATTCTACCCAGATTAGCTCATTTTCTTTTTCCCTTCCTTGTTTCCTCTTTCCACTCTAGGAATCCAGGGCTCTGGTTTCCTTCCCTTTTTAGGACTAATACTTTGTCCCAACCTGTTCTTCTCTCAGTCTATTTTATTTCTATTTCATTATTCCCTATGTGAAACTTAGCTGGGCAACCCTAGCTCGCTCTTTACCAACCTCTGCTTCTCTCAGATACCTGGTTTCTTTCTTTATCAGTTTTCTACGGAATTTTACTGTTTTGTTCCCCCAGCTACTGGAGACAGTACCCCAGAACAATGAGAACCCCTCTGTTGACCTGTTGCCCCCGAAGTCTGGTGAGTTCCAACACTGAAGAAAGTTGGGGCTGGGGCCTGGAAAAGACGGGTTAGTTATCTACAATGAGGTTTTTAGGAGTTGGCAAAGATGATAAAGCCTATAAATACTAGGTGGTTCCTTGGCTCCTCTCATTTCCTTATTCTTGGCTGTCTTTCCTTTTGTTAGGTCCTCTGGCTGTCCCATCTTGGGAGGAGGCCCCTCAAGTGCCACGTCTTCCACCCCCTGTTCATAAAACTAAAGTTCCCTTAGCCATGGCATCTAGTCTCTTCCGGGTTCATGAGCTTCCCTCCTCACATTCACAAGGCAGTGGTCGTAGTGGTGGCTCCCCAGAGAGAGGTAAGCAGGTCATGGTTTCCCAAGGAGAGAAAGAGAGATGGTCCTGGGTTTGGAGCTAGTACCTGGAACTTAAGGCCCTTCCAAATTCCTGGAGAGATGAGATGAGGGCTGGGAAGAAGGGCCTTAGGATGATGATTGTATTGATATGTCTCTCAGGTGATGAGGGGCTTCCATCCCCAAGTCAGCTGATGGAGGTGTCTCAACTGTTACGACTCTACCAGGCTCGGGGCTGGGGGGCTCTGCCTGCTGAGGATTTGCTGCTCTACCTGAAGAGGCTGGAACACAGCAGGTACAAGCTGGAAGAATTTGGAGGATGAAGTCTGGATTATGGAAAATGGATCAGGCGGGGAGGATGAAGTCTGGATTATGGGAAATGGATCAGGTGGAGGTGCATTTTGCACCCTGAGTAGAATCCTTTATCTTTTTCTCAGGAGGAAGGTGAGGGAGGAGATGTAGACCAACAAATGTCCTTCTCTCACTGCTTCCCACCTTTCTTTTGTCTCTTCCTGTCTATTGCTTTTTTCTTCTTAAAACAAACAAAAACTCTTCCACGTGTTTTTCTACTTTAGTTTTTTCTCTTTACCGTGCAGCTCAATACTCAGAATCCTAGGATTTTGACTATCTAATATAAATCATTATTTGACTTCACTAATATCTCCTCCCATCTGATCCCCAGTTCTATTGCATTTGTTCTTATTCTTCAGAGACAGAATTGGGGAATAGTTCTTCCATCCAATGTTGGGGAATTGGGAAGAAATAGCTCCCCCATCCTCATACCCTTGATTTGTGTGGCAGGACTGATGGCCAAGGGGATAATGTCCCCAGGAAGAACACAGATTGTCGCTTGGGTGAGATCCCCCGGAAAGAGGTGAGGGAAAGTTGGGCAGGGACCAGGGGAGAAAAGGGCTCTCATTGACTAGTTCCTTCAACTCTGCACACTCCCTGGCTGACTCGGCTTCTCCATTACTGGCTTTCCAATTCTGCTTCCCACATACTGTATCATGAGCTTTCTCCTTTGGTGATTGATTCTGGCCCTGTCTATGCACTATGTGTTTCCTCAGTGCTGTGGGGAATTGGGAGTATATAATGTTGACCTTCTCTTTTCCCTCAACTCTCAGATTCCCTCCCAGGCTGTCCCTCGCCGCCTTGCTACAACCCCTAAGACTGAAAAACCTCCAGCACGGAAGAAAAGTGGGCACACTGCCCCTAGTGGCATGAGGAGTCGGGGGGGCGTTTGGAGATGAGTCCCTTGCCCTTTCTCTTCTTCTTTGTTCTTTTCTTTCTATCCCTTGAATAAATGCTGAATAATCTGTATTAGAGTTTCTGATTCATAGGAATTTTGAAAATGAAGGTTTTGTAGGAAAGTACTTTATAAAAAAAATCAATTCTGTTATTTTTCTTCTATATGTTTTTGTTATTTCCTGCGGGAAAAGACACGACTTCTTTGAAAGAAGACTTTTAGAAGTTTGAGCAGTACCCCACATCTTTAAAATAATTTTTTAAAAAAAGAAGTAGTAGTAGTTTGAGCAACCTAAGGAAATCTATGGAGTGGTTAACTGTGGTTAGTAGTGGAATTATGGATGATTCTTTTCTTTTTTATATATTTCTGTATTATTCAGTTTTTCTAAAATAAGTATATGTTACCTTAATATTCAGAAAATATCAAACTTTTAATAAAAGACTAAGTTATTGTATAGAGTTTGAGTAAAAATTTGGTTGTTGGAGAGAGTTTTCTTTTTTCTTTCTTTTTTTTAAGAGAAAGGTCTTACTATGTTGCCTGGGCTGGTCTCAAATTTCTGGGCACAAGCAGTCCTCCTGTCTCAGCCTCCCAAAGTGCTGGGATTACAGGCATGAGCCATCGCACCTGACCAGAGGTTTACTTTTAAGAGAAATTATTCCTTCAGGTTGCTTTAGTAGGATTTAGATTGGCAGATTCTGCTCCAGTCAGCAGACCTATTGTGGCTGTAATCTTCACTCTTATGACTTTAAAATATGTAAAAGACTAGAGTGCTGACAAGAAAAAAGCCATGTTTACAAAACTTTCATCCTACTGCTCAGTAAAATGAACAAAAAATATACTAGGGAATAAAATAACATCTATGTGAAACTAAGAAAGGCCCCAGCTTCTAGTACAAACACTGAAAGATAGTACAATTTCATTTAAGCTAGAAGAGGACACCATGAAATCCTCATACAGCTCCCAGCTCTGGAGCACAGCCCAAAGTGGTAGTAATGGTGAGTCCAGTTCTGAAGGGCCTGGTCCTAAGTGGGTGCTTGAGGGACAGAGCTTACTTACTAAATTCTGTGAGGAGCACAAAGCCCTTCTATTTGACCCTGAATTATTTGATTAGAATAAATATGATAGTCTATAAATTCACATAACGTTTCACTTAATAAATGCTTAGATTTTACTTCCTTCCACCTAAGTAACTTTCTAGCCCCTGGGAGAGGGAAAAGAAGAGGTGAAGATATTTGACCAGCAGTTGTTTGGTTCCTCTCCTTAACTGTGTCCTGGACAGCTTGATCTTCAGTCTTGCTCATGACTGCTCTCTCTGACATAGATAAAGCAGAGAAACAAAAGGCAGACTGGTGCAGAGGCAGCCCCAGGCTCTGTGGGCTTTTTAGACCCTGTTTATCCAACATAGGGAAATGTTTGCTTTTCTAGTTTTTACCTCAAGTGTATAAAATTGTTTTAACCAAACCCTGATTCATGGCACACTATCATCATTGGCAAGAGGTGGTTTTATACCATTTTTTAAAAGTTGGTAAAATGAACGCCCAGTTTATTCTTCTCTCATTATCTCCTGGATTCCAACCTGTCACCATCAGTCAACATGCCCTACATTTTTCTTGATGTGAAGCACAGTCTGGAGAATGTTTCCTAAAACAAGTCTTCCAAACAAAATTAGAAAAGGGCACAGTGCTGACTTAATCACTCCGTGAGGTAATTATAGTAAGCTCTGATTTTAAAACATGGATATTGTATCCACATTCAAATCTGTTCCTCACTAAAGACCACCAAGGGGGCTAAAGAGTAAGAGAAAGTGCATATAATCAAGCAGTCCCCCACTTTTTTCCTCCATAATAATTTTGGGACTATGCTGGGGGTGGGGGATGAAGGATTTTGGGAGTTCCATAAAAACCCTCTTGCAGAGAAAGTAGGTGCAGCCTTATTTAAGCTCAGATTTCATTTGATGTATACAGTGGTGTTGATATGGGACTTTGTCTCCTGAAAACTCTCACAGCAATTGTGGAGAAGTTTCTGGTGATGAAATATATTAGGATGAAGACTAACCCACTATAACAAACCCAATGATCCAGTGACTTTTAGACAAAGTTTATTGTCCTGGTTATGGTCCAAAGCAGTGGGGTGGTTGTGCTTTACATGGTCACCCAGGGTCTTAAGTTCCTTCCATCTTGTTGCTCTGCTCTCCCCTGGAGCACTGTCGATATTTGTGTGGTTGAAACAAGATCATTGTCATGTAGGTCTCGCAGCTGGCAAATGGGAAAGAGTTAAGTCCGATGTCTTAAGATCCATGCCTGGAAATGCCACACACCAATTTTGCAAGACTTCATTAGCAAGACTGGTCAAAGGGCCACATCCGGCTATAAGAGATTCTGAAATGTAGCCCACCTGGGCTGCCATGTATGCAGCAATAACTGTTATGCAACCACTAAGGAAGAAAGAGAATGGACTTTGGCAGTCAATCAGTAATCTGCTCTTTAGAGGGTGGGATCGCCCTTAGAGAAATAGAAAACTAATAATTTCTGAGAAAACTCATGCCAATAATTAGTAGTGACTGCAGATAACGAACGTAAATTAATCTAAGTTGTGCAATTGAACTACAAAACAAAGGAAAGGACTTAAATTCTATTCAGTATTCTTATTGAGAAGAGATAGTTTGAAAAAGATGCAGTCATAGAACAATTTTGGGTTAAAGCAGAATGAACTCGACTGGGAACCACACATAAATTGGAAGAAAAATTTGTGGAAATCTCTTGTTTACTAACAAGAGAGAATGTGTAAATCATGAGAGAAACAGTAGAAAAAGAATGGATTCAGGACAACAAATAGAAAATATAGTAGTGATAATAAAAAGTTCTGATTCTGAAAGTATGGTTGAATAGATTATTTGAAGGGCTCTTTGAATTCCAACTAGATACTGCTATTATTATGACAAACACTTTTTAATGCATTACTGGCCTTACTAGAAAGTTAGGGAGGTTGAACTTGTATTTCTAGCAATAAGGTAGGCCTAAGCCTGTGCAGCAAAGCGAGACCCTGCCTTTACCAAAAAATGTTTTTAATACCTGGATATGGTGGCCAGCACCTCTAGTCCTAGCTACTTGGGAGGCTGAGGCAGGAGGCTGAAGTACAAGGATCACTTGAGCTTAGGAGTTGGAGGCTGCAGTAAGCTAGATCGTGCCACTGCACTCCAGCCTGGGTGACAGAGTAAGACTCTATCTCTAAAAAAAAAAAGTGAACCTAGATAACCTGACTGATTTTCCTGTTGTAATAACTAAAAATGTTACATAAAATGTGTGTTTTTTTTAAACTTAAATGCACTGATGAACTGGCAAGAAAGAAGCCAAAAATAAAGACAGGAACAGAGTTAAGTGGAGCACTTAAACTGCTTTTCAGTTTAAGTGTTTCTGTAGGACTGGATCCAGCAGTGGTTATGTGTGTGCGTGTGCATAAATTTGATTTCTCTCGGGAATATAAGGGTAGTTTCGCAAAAAAGCATCTGTAGATGTGGCTGGGCACAGTGGCTCATGTCTGTAATCCTAGTGCTTTGGGAGGCCAAAGTGAGAAATTGCTTGAGACCAGAAGTTTGAGACCAGCTGGCTAATATAGTGAGATCTTGTCTCTAAAAAAATAAAACAAGTCTATGGATGTAATTATTCACCATATGAATGCCATTAACAGATTAAAGGAGGAAAAAGCCATATGATCATCTTAGCTACAGAAAAACCATTGGACAAAATTTAGCTACTATTGTGACTATAAAAGCAAAAACACAAAAGCCTCCTAGCCAACTAGGAATACAGGGAAACTTCTTTAACTTGGTAAGGAATATTTGGAAAAACCCCACCTGTCTTTTTGTTTGTTTGTTTGTTTGAGTTAGAGTCTCACTCTGTCACCCAGGCTGGAGTACAGTGGCACACTCACGGCCACCCCAGTGTTGACCTGCTGGGCTTAGGTGATCCTTCCGCCTCAGCCTTCCAAGTAGCCGAAACTACAGGTGCACGCCACCGTACCTGGCCAATTTTTTATTTATTGCAGAGATGCGGTCTCGCCAGGTTGCCTGGACTGGTCTCAAACCCGCAGGCTCAGGCAGTTCCCTCACCTTGGCCTCCCAAAGTGTTGGGATTACAGGCTGAGCCACCAAGCCTGGCCAAGTGTCATTCTTTATGGAAAATGTTAGAAACATTCTCTTTAAAGTAAAGATGCTCTTTATTATTGCCTCTATTCATGGTGTAGTGAGATCCTAGCTTGTGCAGTATAACATAAGACTTGGAAAAAATGAAAAGATGGTACCAATATTCACAGATTGTATAATCATCTTCATAGATAATTGAAAGAGTCTGTAGACTATTTTAAAAACTTACTGAATTTAGCAATATGCAAAAGTTAGTTGCATTTTTATATATTAGCAACAACCAGAAATTATTTGTTTGTTTATTTTTGAGTCAGAGTCTTGGTCTGTTGCCCAGGCTGGAATGCAGTGGCACACTCACAGCTACTACAGCCTTGACCTGCTAGGCTAGGTTCTTCCACCTCAGGCTTCCAAGTAGCTAGAGCCACAGGTGCACGCCACCACACCTGGCTAATTGTCGATTTATTGTAGAGACGAGATCTCACCAAGTTGTGCAGGCTGGTTTCAAACCCCTGGGCTTAGTCAATTAACCCTCCTGCTTCAACCTCCCAAAATTATGTGACTACAGGTGTAAACCACCATGCCCAGTGGGAAACTTAAAACTATAAGTTTCCTAGGAACAAATCCAAAGATATTCAAGACCTATATGAGGAAAATTATAAAACTTGATTTAAAGACACTGAAGGCATAAATAGATGGAGGGGTAGCCCATGTTAATGAGTAATAAGATTAAATGTCGCAGGGCACGGTGGCTCAGGCCTATAATCCCAGCACTTTGGGAGGCAGAGGCGAGTGGATTACCTGAGCTTACAGGTTTGAGACCAGCCTGGGCAACATGATGAGACCTCGTCTCTACAATAAATAAAAAAATTAGCCAGGTGTGGCAGTGCATGCCTGTAGTTTCAGCTACTTGGAAGGCTGAGGCAAAAGGATC